GCGTAAGGATCTACGGTGGGCTAAGTAAATCATTCGAAAGCAGGAGCGGTGTTCGTCCAGGGTTTCCTATTTTGCCATTCCAGACGAAATACTGGAGAACGTACTATGTGGTCTCCAAAATGTTGGTATTAAAGGAGCAGCTGGTGAAAAGCTATGCGGTTTAGATTACGCTGACAACATCGTTTGCCTGTTCGAATATTAGAGGATGCGCAATGCGCTCTTGACAGGCTGGGGTTCCCTATCTTCATTCGGTGTGTGCTTTACAACGTCAAAGTGCAAAATGATGCTACAAGATTGGGCGTCATCTACCTCGGCGTTGATGCTTGATTGTCAAGAATTAGTTGTAGTGGAATGTTTCACATACTTAGGTAGCTGCGTTTCAAATGACAGTAGCATAGTCAATGAAGTAACCGCCCGCATTTCCAAGACCGAGTAGCTTATGCAAGACTGACACACCTTTGGTGCAGGTGTGATGTTTCGTTGAAACTGAGAGGTCGTGCATATTGTGCCAGTGCGCTGTCAGTTCTGCTCTATGGTTGCGAGACCCTAAATTTGCGCGTGGAAGATATTCATCCTCTGGGCGTTTTCGACTGCAGATGTTTACGTAGTTCGACACGGATTGGATGGAGGGAGCGTGCAAGCAACTGTGAGGTAAGGCGTCGCGTGTTTGGTGATGGTGTTATGGCGAATTCATTGTTCCATCGAAATTAGATTAGTCGGCTTCGTTGGTTGGGGGCACGTATTGTGCATGCCTAACCATCGTTTACCGCACCTCGCCTTATTCACAGTCTCGGCTCCAGGTTGAAAGAAACCGCTTGGAGTTCAGTGGGTGGCGTGGAAACGAGACAGGAGAAAGTCGCTGAGTGATTAGGTATAATAGGTGTCTTCCGTCTTCCAGGTTGGGGTCCAAAAGATTGCAACTGGTTGATTGGAGACACCGAAGGATAAGGCCAATAACCCTCAGCGGTAGCGTCCTTGTCATTTCTTATCAGATGGAAATGCTTGAAAGGGTATGTTTGCTTTGCTGGATTGTGTACTCCGTGTGTTGAACATAGAGGTTCTTTTTCTTTTCCTCCCTCCAATTACACCCAAACCCTCTCCGTCTTGTACTTTAGCACTTGATTAGTGTACATTTTGAGCTTGACAACGATCAATGAAGTTCGCTTCACTGTATCTCGCTGTACGATGATGATGATGGTAAATGCTAGGTTTCTTTTAAAGTAACATTTTCAAATCGATTCCTTCCATATATTTATCATCATTGACGCTGTCTAGTTCCCGATGATTCCTAATCTTTTTTATTGAAAGGGAAGGGGGCAAAAACGGAAGCGGAACTAAACTCTGATCCGGATTGANCAGAGCGTTGACAACAAGAAACGGCCATTCCGGTCGTCCAATCCATCAATGGAGTTCGTTCCCTTCGCCCTCCTTCAAATAATTCCTTACTCGTTACGGAAATGCATGACCATTTAGTAGATCATGGAAATTTTGCTACTAAATATGTGACAAGAGAGTGCTACAAAATTGTACGGACCATCGTGATACGAATGAGTTATGATGCTCCCGCGGTTCACGTGTTATCTTCTGTTGTTTTGAGATGATTCGTTGAGGTCAGTAAAGTGACCCTGCATTGGTGGCTGGTTGCTTCTAGCTGATCGAGACGTATTTGATGCCTGCACTTTCAATGGCG